AAACGTGCTTTCAGCAGAGGTCATTTCGGGGGGGATCGCGGGGGATCGCAGTTCCCCCGGGTGAGGTACGGGGGGCGGGGCACATGACGAAGCCCCGCCCCCTGCTTCCGGCCACCCCGCTTCCAGCCCTCATTCAGCCAGGAGGAGGCAGGAGAAGAGGGAGGGTAAGTTGCTTCCTCCCCGCCTCTCCCCACCCCTGCCTGCCTGGGGCCAGGGAGGGCCTTCGCGGGGCTTCCTTCCGCTCCCGCTGGCCTTGCAGGTCCACCGCCGGGCCCCTCATGGGGCTCGGCAGTGGAGCTGTGAGGCCGGCGGCGGCAGCTGGGACCGTTGGGGGCGGGGTGTGTGGCCTTATGAAACACTTCCAGTGATGTCGGGGGGGGTGGCCTTATGACACACTTCCGGTGATGTCAGGGGGTGTGGCATATGCTAAAGAGTTATGCTAATGAGTTCCCCTAGCTCTTTTTCTACGAAACGACCCCTGGTTTCAGTCTGCACAGCCAATCTGGTCTCCAGTGGCCAATCAGAAGCCCCGCTGACCTGCAGCTCTCCTGAGCCAAAGACTTTCTAAAAAACCTTTGGCAGGCACCAGGAAAGGATCGGGAGGTTTGGTGAACACAGCGGACTTTTGCCCAGCCATAGAAGCGTGACACCGAGTGCCGTAAGCAAATCTCCCAAGAGCTATATTGCAAGAAAGGTAAACTTGAATGTATTCAAGTGGAACTAGTTCACATTCAGGTTGCGGTCAAAAGAAGCGAAAATCTAAAGAGTCCTTTCCTTATCACAAGCAGTCAACTTGTCCGGCATCATGTGTGTGGGATACGGTTGCCAAGTCTCTTGCCTGGCATGGGGGGGGGGGGGGCCCCGGAACCATAGAGTTTTCAGGGGGATTGCTAGAGCGTCCCCCGGACGTGCCCAGCATGATTACGTTACTTCCGGGCGACGTCATCGCGCTGGGCACGTCGGCCTGATCGGGCCACTTTGGGGGTGGGGTTCCCCCCGCCGGCCGGATCAGGACCGGCAGATTGGGGGCCCTTTCGGCGGAGGAATCCCCGTCCTCCGGGGGGACTTGGCAGCCCTAGTGTGGGAGTATGGGGGCATTGTCTCTACAGGACAGACCTGCAGAGACATTGTATCTCCATGGAAGGCCATGAGAAGAGAGGGAGAGGACAAAGGGAGAGAGAGGAGGGGTCAGAGGGCAGCTCCCAGGTTAAGACAAAAACAGGTATCCCATTTCAAGTCAGCCTTTTGTCATCTTCGGATGATTAGGCAGTCGGGTCCCTTCCTCGAGCGCAAGGACCTGGCAATAGTGATCCATGCAATGGTCACCTCTAGGTTGGACTACTGTTAAGCTCTTCACATGGAGCTGCCCTTGTCCCAAATCCAGAAGCTGCAGCTGGTGCAGAATACAGCGGCCAGGCTACTGCTGGGTCTCTCCATGTGGGAGCACATCCAGCTTGTGTTAAACGCACTGCACTGGCTGGCTGTAGCATTCTGAATTCGGTTCAAAATGCTGGTTCTTTCCTTTAAATAGGGTTGCCAAGCGGCACTTACCTCGCTGGCGGGGAACTCCCGTGTGGATCTCGGTGCATGCGCTGGGGGCGGGGCCACAACCATACAAGGGAAAACCATAGAGTTTTCCCTTGTATGGCCGTGGCCCCGCCCCCAGTGTGCCCGGCGTCATAAC